ACCCACCCATGAAAAATAACTTTTTTTCTAATCATTGTTCATATATTTCGTGGAAAAATTTTATTTTTACCATAATGCTTCTCTTTTCACATATGATGCATGTCGTATCATATGATGAGCACCCATTAGAACGCGCAATCACATATGTGGCCACATTTTTCTCTTCCAGACTCTTCTAGAAACATATCACTATTGATAATCACTACATAATGCTGACGAAGTCTGAGCTGGGTGCCCCAAAAAGACCGTAAGGTTGATAATTAAGTTTGAAGCACAAAATTTGTTCGAATATAACAGAGATTTTAAATACACTTGAAACTGAAATCGGGTTTAGCTTAAGTCCACGAAGATTTATTTGATGTTAATTAAATTAAGGATTCACAAGTATCATGAATGAAAATGGATATTTCTTTTTTAAAAAATTAAATGGTGATATTTTTTATGTGAAATTAGATAATTGTTTGGTAAAAATATAAAAAATAAAATTCAAGTGGTACAAATGTAAGTACATAATAATGTGTGGTATGGATATAAATGTCTCATATATATGTGTGTGTGTGTACCCAAAAATGGTCTGAATGGATTTCAAGGCAATCCATTAGCACTGTCCAAGCGCTTTCCCTCGGTCGCCTAACTCCGGTCGACCGATCAAGCTCTTTCCTAACAATTCAATACGTAAGCCTAAAATATCCAATACCACCCTTTAAAAGCAATGAAAATATTGTAATTTAATTTTTTGTCATCCTATCATTTATAAATAGGAAGGTCCTTTCATATAAAGGAGTGCTTTTTGGCTCCCTTATTTGTAACATCTTGCTTTGTGGAATTAAATAGGTTGTCCAGCCTGGGGACCACCCTCTCGGAGCAAGTATTTCTCTTTCTCTCTCTTTCTCTCTCAAGCTCTCCTTCCCTTGGTCTTACGCTCTATTCCTTGGGTACGGTCTACCGAGCAAATCTGGATTCAACATCCTTTGTGCGGTGAGCATGGATCGTGTCATCAACAAGATGACGAGCTAACAGCGAGAAGAACGATCTTTACCCCAGTACATCTGTATAGTTTTCCATTTTATTGTTGCGAAAGGGATCCCCCCTGCCGGCCGATTTGACCTGACCGATTTCAGCGGGAATGACATGGATTTGCCTGCTCGGCCCAAGAAAAGGAAGATACGAAATATTGGATTGAAAGCTTTGAACTACAAGCAAGACCTGAAGCACCGAGAAATTTGAGATTTGAAAGCTGCCCCGATCTAATTTCTTTAGGTTAACTGTAACAAATGAAGAGTGACAGTGAGAAATGCTAGCTCATTCCCAGCGAGGACTCTATTAAATATTAACAACTATGGAAACAATCGTACGCGCTTTGCCGGAGGTGCCAACGTGGTGGTGTTACTATCGCAGCTGCGAAATTTCCTTGGTTTTGCTACGAACAAGAACGCATCGATGCTCGAAGCTCTTTGTCCACTGGAAGAAACGTCACGCTTTGTACCAGTCGGCCAACAACCTTACTCTGTCGGTCGGTCGGCCAACTCAATCTAGAGGTCATCTACTTTCATACCAGAGTTTTGCCCGGGCTTTGGAAATCGTTGTTGTGTGTAACAAGAGAGGTAAGATACATTGATTCCACATTCGAGCAAAGCAGTCAACAAGATAGACGCCACTTGCTGTTTGACCATACGTCAAACGAAATTTCCTAGTGCTGAAAGGCTATATTGGTCGGCTTATCCCGATCAGCCCTTTTTGTCATCCTCGCTGTCGCACAAAGGTCCCAGCAAGCCCTCTATCAGAATGTACTCCCCGTTCGACCTCACTCCCCCGAACAGAGATTTCTCAGCCATTCCCTTCAACCAAAGCATAATAACTCACTCTACGGTACTTAAGGTCAAGACTTGGCGAGCTCAAGAAACACATGCATACCTCTTAACAATTAGTCTTAGTTGGGGAACTTCAATTTGTTACTTTTAACATTTTGTAATTATTTTTTCTGATGTGCAGAAGGACATATTCACCTCTTTTCTCTTACACTTATTAGAAGGATTTATGCTAAATCTTCTCATTCATTTGTGGGAAATCATCACAAATTGAAGCTACATATATTTTCTTTCTCTCCAATAATATATAGGGGGGCTTCTGCCTAACACTTCTTACAGGTGACCACTCAATACTTTAAGAGCTCGAACCCAGGTTGTAAAACCAACAACGACGCCAAAAACACCCAATCGATTGAAAACGTAAAAGACACCGACGATGTCGCCAAGATCATCTGATTGGTATTAAAGGCATATGAGACGAGACGTATTGGCAACCAACAATGACAAGCTTCGCAAGGGGTGCATAAATCATCATCCCACGTCCAAATTATAAAGTTAGCACTTGACAACGACAAGCTCCACGAGGAGTGTCTAAAGATTTTCAAAGGCCTATGGAACGTATTAGCACCCTACAACGACAAGCTCCATGTGAGATGCATAAACGATCGTCATGCACCCAAATTACAAAGTTAGCTCCCAATAGTGACAAGCTCCGCAAAGAGTGTCCAACGATCGTCAGAGACATATAGGACGTATTGACACCCAACAACAACAAGCTCCGAGAGGGGTGTTTAAATGATAGTCCTGTGCCTAAATCATAAAATTAACACCCGACAGCGACAAGCTCATTGAGGAGTGTATAACTTAAAGACTCCCCTCTGGGGTGAACAACTAAAAGACTTCCCCCCTGGGGAAGTAACTCTAGGACTCCCACAGGTGATGGCGAAAGTACCTGAACCAAGCGCGAAAAATGCCTAGCAAGGAGTAACATTAGTAAATGCGTGCTCAAGATTTGTTTGCTTTAAAAATTTCCTTGTCCTTATTGCAGATGACATTATCAAAGTGCAATAAAATTCAAGAACTTTATATGTACTCAAAAATAGTTTGCACAGATCTCGAGGCAATCTAGTAGTTGACCACCTCACTTCCATCGACCGACCGAGCTCTCTCCTCGATCACCTCACTATAATCAACCGACCAAGCTCTTTCCTTCGACCAACCAGAGTCAAACGAGAGACTTTTCCCCACTGAAGAATGTCTTTTTAGCAGAATATATCAATATAAATGACTAAAATATTCAGTAGCACCCTCCAAAAATAAGAAATTGTAATTAATTTTTTGCCTCTCTAATCATCTATAAATAGGAGGGTCATTGCATGTAAAAGGGTGTTTTTTGTCTCCCCCACTTGTAACAT